CTTTTATTTTCCCTTTAATTAATCAGGACACACCTGACGTTCGAGACTATATACAGTTTGGCAAAGTGATCATGGCAAGGTGATACCCCCGCAGCAAATCTTTGTACCGCGTATCATCTGTATTCTGTAGCTCCCGAGTACAATCCTCTAGGCTCGCCGCTTCCCTTGCCACAAGCGCCTCCAACAAGAGGCCACTCTCCCGACTCAAGAGATTGGGGAATCTGCGAATGGCATGCTTAAACTCCAGGAAGGCCGTCGCTAAGCCGAGGAGCAAGCCGAGATTCGCCGTGGGCCGCGCACTCCACCGCAGCATGTCGTGGGCCAATTTAGCACTCTCCTCACCCTGACCGTGCTTAGCCGCTAGCATGAAAACATCGTGCAAAGATAACGGTTTTGCACCAATAGTACCCCGGCCAAGGTGCTGGGTCAGCTCTAGGCCAATGTCTACCAGACTGGTGCAGGAGTCCCGCCTCAGCTCGTCCATGCCCGCGACGATATCGGATTCGATACCAAATCCCGCTTGCGCGCGCAGGAGGCGCAGGATACTGGAATGGAGGGGACATACGGTTCGGGAAGGCGTGTTGATTGTGTTCTCGAGAAGACTGATGTGAGCAAACCAAAGGGCAATGACGTCAGGGAGTCGAGCCATCGAGGATATGGTTAACGTTGGCTGTTCCGTCCACGGCCTTCCCCCACTAACAAAACCAAGCCCCTGGCATATTGCTGTTGTTGTCGTGCACGAATCCACCGTCTGAAGTGGTCTGGCTTCATTATTGGGAAGTACGAATGGATGGTGGCGAACTGGATCTCGGAGCTCCGCGACGGCTTCTTGAGACGGCACAGGCTGTCTCTGGGTAAACGTCCAATATAACAAGGGTTCATGTCGTGGCCTCAGTGCATCGATCCACCCGCGAACCGTAGTAACCTCGTTGTCGGTGAACGCGCCAAACATGCGGCCCCCCCACGACAGCTCCCGTAAAAGTGTGCTCTTGCTGCTTTCCCCGGCAAACACCCATGGCTTGGCTTGGCTCAAGGCAGTCAAGAGATCCAGCTGATGCAGCCCATCGGAATGCTTCCACATGCTCGTGTCGAGCCATTCAGACAAGGTATAGGGTCCTATATGCACCCTGCTCTGAGAATGAATGCGCTGCGATACCAAAGCCTTGGATCTAAAGATGTTTATCACTCGCGTGCTTAGTGGTCCTAGCAGCACGTCTGGGCTCGACAGACCCAACCTGGCCGACCCTGGAGAAGAGTAATGACCTAGGGTCTGCGACAAGATATATCCGACCTGAACACGTTTCCAGGCCTGCTGCATCGCCGACGTGCCTTCCGTTGCTCGCACCACTTCCAGATAGCGCAGAACAGCGTGAGCGGCCATGGCCGTGTGGCCAGAATCGGCATTATCTATGGTCATGTGAATGAGAAAGTAGTAAGGGTTAATGCCAAAGCCCTTAAGCTCATGTGCCACCTGCATCGTTTCGAGGGTAACTGTCTCAAAGTGCATATTAAACCCGAGGATTTCAGGGAGGAACTCATTGGGGAAGAGCGAGATGACGAGCTGGCCCACGGCGGCTTCCCAGGTGCCACGGTTCTCGATATGATCCCACTCGCGGAGATGAATGAAATCGGCACTGTGGCCATGGGGGAGGGAACATCCAATGTCATCCAGAAGCTTGCGGTAGAGATTGACGTGATGTTTGCACAGATCGCCATCGCCGAGCTCTTCCGACAAAACCTGCCACACCGGTCTGGTGATGCTACGGAGGGCAAATGGGGTGGTGATTTTGTGGACGTGTCCAAGCCATGCGCCGTCCACAAACTTGATGGGAGCCTGCTGGACCAGCCAGGCTTTGGCCGCTTCAGCCGTTGCGAACAATTCGGGACCTTGGCCCTGCTTTCGTCGCTCCAGATAACGGGCCCATTCCGACTGAGTCTTTTCATGTACGTCCTTGAGGAAGCCGGAGAAGCTCTCAAGACTGTAATCCCCGACCCGGAGGATGTTGGTGCTACTACTACACTTGGGCTGCCTGAGCGCAATTGAAAGTCCGTGAGAGAACATGGCTAAGAGTTCCTCTCGGGCTGGTTCCAGCGCTTCGGGGTGATCTTCCAGATTCTGAAGCTGAAAGTACATGTTTCGATACCATTCTGTGGGTTTGAGGTGTGTGACTTTTGACCTTGGTTTCTTCCCATCTTTGGACTCATCCACCGGCGTATTCAAAACGGGTGCCAGGGGGCTCTCTTTCTTGCTCAAGCTCAGATAGTAAATTCCGGCAGGCAGTAAGAAGACCGCTAGAAGAGGGAAGAGATGGCGCTGTAAAGTAGCAAAATACTCAGGCAGATTCATTCTGAATGATACGACACACATCACTGAGAAAGAGACAATGTGAAGGGACCACAGTAACGTCACGACGGGGGGACGAGGGAGGCTTGGTTTCGGGCATAGACGGGTTAGTCTTAGTGTGTAAAGGCCTTTTGAATTTGACGCATAAAGCGAGAAACATAAGCTGTTACAGGATTGGTTGTTGGAGTAGTGGGCAGAACAGCCGAAGGTTATGCAAGGTAAGGTCTGTCTACTCGTATGGCTGGCTGATGGAGCACCTGGATCATGTAGATCTCAGATATGATTAGTATCTTGGGAGTCCGTGGTGGTGTTGCCTTCTAATGCACCTTTGTGATGAGCCGACATTGCATCCATAGCGTCACTTTCCCCCCCCTCTCAAGTGGATGGGTTACGCACGATCCAGTGCTATGCCTGGGTAAATGTTGGAGTATATGCATTTGCGTTAGCTTCCGCAAACATGTAGATAGAGTACATCTTCACGAGAATGGACGGTCTTCTGTCCACTGTCCACTATCCACTGACTTACGTGAACGGATCAGAGTTGTAAGGGAGAATCATCTGTTGCAGTAGTAGTTTATAAGGCATATGACTTTCCCCTCATTTGCTTCCCTCCACTTGCTCTACTCAACCCTGGGTATATCCAAGAAAGAATACTAGTGCTTTTACTTTCGCTGAGCTGCCATTTCTTCTTGTACGCTCGACCACCTTTCTTTATCCCAAGACCACTATGACTGTCCAAAATAAGATAGCATCTCTGGCGGTAGTCGATTACGAAGCCTTAGCGAACAAAGATGGTAAAGAGATCCGGAAGCTCGTTCAAGCCTGCGAATCCGTGGGCATGTTCCACCTCAACCTCGGAGATTCAAGGATAAAGGCTGTCTACAAAGACATACCGAATCTCCTCCAGGCCGGCAAGGCCTTCTTCGACCTGCCCCCGGATTGCGAGGAAAAGAAGCAAAGCATTCGCGAAGGAATGGAGCGAGGGTAAGAAACGACAGCATGCACTCTCCCAACATGTCGTAGCTACTTACTAACTTCTTGCTCCTCACGCCCATGCAGGTATCACGCAGCCAAGACTTTCGAATACTACGAGGTAGGTAAACACGTATTTTTCGCCGAACAAGGATCTTCCCATTTTGCTAACTCGCACCGCACCAAAGATCGCCCGGGATGAGTATCAACTAGGCAAATGGTCCCTGCCTCCTTGCCTCACACCCCACGAAGAGCGCATTACCCGGACCCTGCAATCCCTGCACGGTGCCATTCAGACAGTCTTAGCGGAGCTCTGCGCCGCCATAGATGTGAACATCCCCGAGCTGAGCGACGATCCAACTGTTCCCAGCGACACTGCGCTCAAGCTAGTCTTCAAGCCTCCCGTACAAGAACCTGGTGCGGTGGTCCAGCCGTGGCATACCGATTTCGGTCTCATGACGCTGATGTGGTATGAGGAGGTGAGCGCACAGATCCCAGTCTATGACGCAGAGGGAAAACGAACCGAGGCCTGGCAGGCAGTTCCTGTCGTCGATGGTGCCGTTCTCGTCAATATTGCAGATGAACTGGAGGCTAAATCGGGTGGGCGTCTGCGTTCGACGGTGCACCGTGCGGTGACGCCGCCCGGACCTAAGAAGGCGAGACACGGAATGGTCTATCTTCTTCGGCCGCACAAGGATTAGGTTAGATTTATTAAGTTGGTTAGTTTCTGCAGAGATGGCTTGGCGATAGGTGATTAATTGACGGCGAGAGGGGGGGGCGAGACGAGAAAGAGGGGTAGAGACACAGAGGCAGAGCAAAACCACCCGTCATCTATTTATTATTATTGTTCTTAGTATCATTATTCCACTGCACGGTTGACCTACAGCACTTTCCCTCCACCCACAGTGGAAAAACGAACAAATGAGAGTACAGAACGACGCGCCACTCACGAATTATATCTATATACATGTAAATCATGAATAAAAATAAAGAAAAGTCCACGTACGTATGGCGACGGCCCTTAGCGCAGCCAAGACATGTCATTAGGGTGGACTAAATCGAGCTTCCGGACAATGCATCGATTTTTGAGCAATTTTACCGAAATCTTACCATTTTACATTCTGGCACGGCTACCACGCACTTCACAATCTAGATCTAGTAGAGTTGAATAGCTCTCTGTCTTAGAAGGCCTACCAGGCCACTGTGCGATGTAGGTAAGGCATGGAAACGGGAGCTAGGTGGGGATAACGTGAAGGTATGACATAGTGGGTGGCCTGCCAAAATCTACTATTCCCAGGTCCATGAAATCAGATTAACCATCAGTTCGATTTCATCTCCTTGGAGGAGACTAACTCCTAAGGCCTCAACCTATTTACATCTCTCGGAAACAACGTAGTCTCACGCACATCATCCAGCCCGAGGAAACTCTGTAGCAGCCTATTAAGCCCCAGTCCGCAGCCGCCGTGTGGGGGCATGCCAGCCTTGAATGCAGCCAGGTAGGGCTGCCATTGTTCGGCCTCGGGATCCAGCGGCGGGCCACACACCCCCGCCCTCATGGCTTCGCACAGCTCCTGGTACGAGTGGATGCGCTGACTCCCCGAACAGATCTCCCGTCCACCGACGATGATGTCCCATGTATTGGAAAACCCTGGAGCGTCAGGGTGGGCTTGTGAGTTAAACTGGCGCAGAGATGCCGGGTACTGAGTGATGGTGAAGACGTCTGTACTGGTAGGATGAAACTCGCGGAAGTGTCGGCCAAGAGCCGCTTCTTCTTGGACGCTGTGAGACCATTCACTCATTAGTGCCTGAAAATTTGACTTGGAGACGGGGACGAAAATCGATGTGGATTTGAGATTGGCATCGGCGGAAGTTTACTCACGTAAAGTTCTTGCTGTCATCTGAGTCGAGGCCAATCTCCTCCCGCAGGATGCGCTTGGCCTCCAAAAAGGTGATGCGCGGGACCTTGCCATGCTCATCCAAGCCCACTCGGAACGGTTGGACCCCAGGATACATTTCTTCAACCAGCGCGATAAGCTGCCTGTACTGTTTGCGTCCCTGAAGTTCCTTGAAAACGAATAGCAGCATGGATTCAATCAAGTCGACCACCTCCTGGTAGTCGTCCTCGAAAGCCATGGCAATATCCAGGACGGTGAACTGCGTATGAGGTGCGTTAGCAGCAATTTCTGAGTACCAGCGCACCTGTCAGCGGTGATGGCTGGACCTACCTCGGTCAGATGCCGCATAGATGTGCTGGACTTGACTTCGGCCCGGAAGACTGGTCCAATTTCAAACACTCGCTGCATGTCCATAGAAAGAGCCATCTGCTTGTGGTGCTGCGAGCTCTGGGCCAGCCATGCATCCTTGCCAAAATATGGCAGATGAAAGTACTCGTTGTCGCCCGGGACAGTAGCAGTTATAATGCGCGGGGTATGGATCCAATGGAACCCTTGGGAGCAAAGAAACTCGACAACCAGTTGGCACATACCTGAATGGAGCTTGAAGAGTGCTCCCGACGCGGCGAAGCGCACATCGAGGATTCGATTAGTGAGTCGTTCCTCAATGCCAACGTGGGACAACATTGTCTTTCTGTGGCATGAGGATAAGGGCAGGTTTGGAGATGCCCAGGCGATGACATCCAGGTCCGACACATGAATGGTTGTATCGATCGTATTGCCATTGACTTCACTACTATCACTGGTCGATTGAAGGACGTGGCCTGTGACCCTCACGATGGACTCGGCAGTCACCTTTTGGGCTATGTCCCAGGTTGCCTTTCCAACGGCACTGCCACGAATCACCGCTTGCAACACCTTGTGCTGTACTCGAAGTTCCAAGTGCATCAGCTCCGGATGATCAGGTTGGAAGACCGAGTTGACTCTAGCATCAAAGCTCAATTTCGGCCCCTCCATATCATGAGGTGTTGGACCTGCCTAGCTCATGTGTTAAAGAGTTGGCAAACTGCAAAGAAACAAACAATCGATGACATTCCTCGGCTTACAGTTTTGCTCACCGTGCTGGTGGTATGGTGTTCGGACGCAGGCATAATGGTGGCAAGCATTGTGAGTAGTCTTTGGTATGAAAATAATCGGCAGAATGTCTGTGTTTCTTTCTTTCTTTCTTTCTTTCTTTCTTTTCTTCCTAGAGAAGCCCCCGCCGCACGCTCAAGTAGGTACAGGCTCGTTATTTCATGAAGTAGCCTGTTGTGAGCGGTTAATTACTTGAGTTCCCGAGCTATTACTGAAACAAAACCTAACACTGGGGGTATTCGACTTAGCCGAGTCAACCAGGCCAATTCAAATGGTACCAAGTGACTTTGGTGGTATCCGGTTAAGAAATCGTCTTCGGCGGGCCTTTGCGATGCATCAATGCTTCACGCAGGACCAATGGTTTACGACATGCATACATGCATTAGTTGATATATTCCCCCTTCAGGATTGAATGCGGAGGTCGTAGGCAGCCCTGAACTGTAAAATTGCTCAGTCTCCATCAGATCGACAGTGATGGAGTCTATCAGTGATGACGTGTCATTCTTTCACCTACCTAGCTGCAGTTCTGAACTGGATAAATGTTCCCTGTGCGAAGTGACTCGATCCCTGCGCTAGAACTAAGTTGTGGCTGGCTGGACTAAAAACATCGGTTCTCTTTCCCTGCCGCACACTGCAGCCATGGACGGTCTGTGCTTTCAACAACGAGATGGACAATGGAGGTGCGGACTATCTGGATGCACGTACCCCGCTCCGTGCAGGACATGAAATATGCGACCAAGAAAGGTTCGGAGTGTTGTTCTGATCGTTTATACGCGTATAACTCTTGCGCTGCAATTGCAATGACAATCTCGGAAATATCGTGCAGATCCTTTGTTTCTACCATACGCCACGTCGAGAACGGTGTTGGTTTGTCAGCTCGCAGGAAGAGATAGAGGGGGCTTTATGACGAGATGACCATTGGAAACAGATATTGAGGCGGGGATTACAAGCGCCCAATGTAGCTATTTCCTGACTATGTAGTGTAATGCGTCTATAACTAAGTGTAGACCAAGTCAAGCCATCAGACCAAACATTCGAACTAAGGCTCGGTACTGTCTTGTCGGGTACATATTGCGTTTTCCTTGCTTGTTAAATGTGAATTTCTGAACCAACAAACCAAGGGAAAAACAGACATTGCGCCTGTTCGCATATTTCATCATGGCTGCCGCAGAAGACCTGGGTAGCCGGTCTTTATGCATGCTGAAACAGGACAACCTTGGCCTTGACGGCGAATTAAGCTGGATTCCCATCGGTATTCCGCCACTGGGCGAGTTTTGTGACAGCCATGAGGTCGACATGGATGGGATACTAAGGTTCACTTGGGGCCTAGTGCTAGGAATCTACACTGGCGCAAGCGACGTCAGTTTTCATTGTATTCGTTCCGCGAATGCCAGTAATGAGCCGCCTTTCGCAGGATGGGTCCATCGAATGGAGATTGACAGGAGTAACCCTATCTTAGGCCTTTTGAAGAAGAGTCTGAGCGACAGGTTCTACCGGAATGGTGCCCAGCCACAGGATGCTGGTCAGGATTTAGCCCTGGAGGGTTGTGACACCGTCTTAATGATCAACAATGGTCCTGGGAGAGCCTCTCAAGTGTTACGGGAACATACTATGGCCGATGTAGGTATCACTAAATGTTCCGCGGCAGCCAATGAGCGAGGGTCGTGAGCTTATCTTACACAAGTGCAGATTAGAATTATTTTGGAGGTTAATGGAATGATGGTAAGCCTAGGATACTCGACATCAAAGCTCGGTAGCCTCCAGGCAAAGAGCATGGCAGCCAAAATAAGTAGGGTCATTACTGCGCTGATAGATCAACCATGGATGGCTGTGGGCGATCTCGATTGGTGTGATGAAGAGGACTTGTCGATGCTTCAAAAGTGGAATAACTTTGAAGTGACATGGGAGGAGAAGTGTGTCCATGACTTGATATCCCAGCAAGCTACGGAGACACCAGACAATCTGGCTGTTGATGCCTGGGATGGCCATTTTACCTACCGAGAATTGGACCATCTCTCGTCCAAGCTCGCAGTATATCTACGGACACTGGGAGTCATTCCGGAGACCTTTGTTGCTTTGTGCTTTGAAAAGTCAAAGTGGCTTGTTGTTTCTCTCCTTGCTGTTATCAAGGCTGGAGCAGCATATGTTGTTATTGAGCCATATTATCCCGCTCCCCGCATGAAACAGATCTGCGACCAACTTCAAATCGATCTTCTGTTGGCTAGCCCAGATTTGTTCGATACAGCTCGTACGCTATCGGATCGGGTCGTGGTCGTCAAAGAGGGTTCCGAACACTTTGATGACCGCTGCAAGGGGGATGACGAAAGGCAAACCGAGGCCCCTAGCAGCCCTCATAATGCACTCTACGTTGTGTTCTCATCGGGATCGACCGGCAATCCAAAGGGGATTGTAGTGGAGCATGCGGCGTTTGTGAGCTGGGGCACGCTGCTAGGAGAACCCCTCTGTTTGGATGGACAATCCCGGGTTCTCCAATTTTCGAGTTTCGCATTTCTTATAGCCCACCGGGATGTGCTGCTCACCCTTATGTTTGGAGGTTGTGTTTGCATACCATCTGAATCACAACGGCTAAATCACCTCGAGACATTTATAACGGAATATCAGGTCAATTGGGCCAATCTTACACCTTCAGTGGCTGCACTGCTCGATCCAGATATGACACCTGGCCTCAAAACCTTGCTTCTCACTAGTGAACCCATGTCACTCGCGAGCCTCAGTAGGTGGGAAGGTAAAGCGAACCTTATGTTCGCCTATGGCCAAGCAGAGAGTGTCAGTCTCTGCTGTGTGAGGAAGAACCCAACGGTTGGTTCGGATCGAAAGAACGTGGGCCATAGGATCGGAAGAGCAATTTGGCTGGTAGACCCCTACGACCATGATAAGTTGGTCCCTGTGGGAGCGGTTGGCGAGTTAGTCATCGAAGGCCCTGTATTGGCTCGTGGCTATCTTGATGTTGAGAGGACGGCACTCGCTTTTCTTCAGGATGCGATGTGGCAGCGCAAGCTAAAACCAGGCTACCGTGGGCGGCTCTACAAGACAGGAGATTTGGCACAATTCACCGACGATGGGTCCGTCCGATTTCTAAGTCGAAAAGATAATTCGGTCAAGCTATACGGCCAACGAGTGGACTTGGATGAAGTGGTGGGCCACATTCAGCGTTGTCTAGCGGAACAGTCAGACACCGCAGTGCACGACGTGGTCGTGGATCTATGCCCTGCGCCCAACTCCAATGATATCAAGTTGGTAGCATTTTTCGGATTCAACCGCACCTCGCCCAATAACACGGGTGCTGTTCCCCTGGGTTCTCTAGATCGAGCCCCTGCATACCTACACGAATTAAAGGCCCGTTTAACCGGTGTCATTCCGCGGTACATGATTCCTGCTCTTGTCGTGCCGGTATCCCGCATACCACTGAATCTGTCAGGTAAAACCGATCGCAGAATGCTACGCGAGCTCCTCTCTCAGATGACGGTTGCTCAGGTGGATATGTGCATGGGATCCAATGCCAGTCATGAGGCCCCACGCACCGACGAAGAGCTCAGGCTGCGTTCACTTTGGTCACAGGCTTTGAACATTGTGGAATCGAGCATTGGGAGACGGGACGACTTCTTCCAACGAGGAGGCGACTCCTTGACAGCGATGAAGCTGGTCTCAGCTGCACATGCGGCCGGTCTGTCTCTGACATTCAGTGATATTTTTGCGAATACATCACTGTTAGATCAAGCCAATCTGACGAACTCGACACAAGAGCAAGAACAACGAGATTATCGTTGTGCTCCGTTTGAATTAATTACGGAGAGTCGAAAGCAAGTTATCCTGGGCATAGCAGCCAAAGAATACGGATTGTCAGAGGCGCAGATTGAGGATATTTACCCGACCACACCCATGCAGGAGGGCCTAATCGCACTGAATACTCTACGGCCGGGATCCTATGTGGCACGGCGAGTTTACAAAATTGAAAACGACGTTAGTGTTAGCAGGTTGGAGGCAGCTTGGAAGGCCACCTTGAACGCCAATCCTCCCCTACGAACCCGTGTCATACGGTGCTCTGATGATGGCTCAACGTATCAAGTTGTTGCTCGTGGCGACTTTGAGTTTGACATTCACCATGATCTCAATGAATATTTGGAGCAAGACAAGGCCAAATCAATGAGCCTAGGTGCACCACTAGTACGGTTGGCGCTAATTTCCAGCACCAGAGAAGTGTCAAAGCATTGCGTCCTCACTATGCATCACTGCATATACGATGCGTGGTCAATGTCCGTGCTCCTGGGACAGGTTCATGCCGCGTATCATGGCAGCCATTTGGCTCCACAACCGTTTAACGGGTTTGTGAAATATGTTCACCAGTCCAACGCGAATGCATCGGAGCACTGGAAAGCCGAGATGGCTGATGTGCGAGCCGAACAGTTTCCCGCCTTGCCGTCTACAACTTATTCTCCGAATACCACAGAATCTGAGAAGCTGGATATCCGGCTGCCTCCAAGCAACGCCTCAGCAAACATTACCCTCTCTACTCGTATACAGCTAGCGTGGGCAGTAACCTTGGCTAGCTATACTGGCGTAAATGATGTTGTGTTCGGCGTGACAGTTTCTGGAAGGGGATCGCCTGTACCGGGAATTGACAAGATGGCTGGCCCTACAATCACAACATTCCCTTTACGGGTTCAGTTGAAGTCACACTTGCCAATCCACGAGGAGCTTCAGACCTTGCAGAGCCGTGTAATATTGACGATGCCATTTGAACATTTTGGGATCCAGAATATCAGTCGGCTTGGAAACGACGCTGCCAGGGCATGCAAATTTCAGAGTCTTCTGGTGATCCAGCAGAATCTGTCCTCATCCGAACAGTCTGGGATCTTCAGCAGCGTCGAGGGTCTTGCTATCGCACAGCGAACGTGGGATACATATGCACTAACTATTTTGTGTACTCCCGCTGATGATGGGATGGTTCATATGGAGGCAGTTTACGATGCAGCTGTAATACCCCAGGCTCAGATACGACGGATACTACAAGTTTTTGCAAATGTCTTGAAACAAATAGTCTCATTCCCGCACAGAGTAGTGGGTGATATAGAGAGAATCAGCGCGGAGGATTGGCAGCAACTCCAGGTCTGGAACAGCTTGAAGTCTCCAGCAGTTGCGAGGTGCGTCCACGATATGATCCACGACCATTGTGTATCGCAACCAGATGCAACCGCGATTGATGCCTGGGATGGCCAGCTCACTTATACGGAACTCGATGAGCGGTCCTCGCTGCTTTCGGCGAATTTGAGAGAGAAAGGTATACACCAGGATCTTTTTGTTCCCCTCTGCTTCGAAAAGTCAAAATGGGTTGCGGTTGCCGTCCTGGCCGTCGTGAAAGCAGGCGGAGCATTTATACTTCTAGATCCATCTCACCCGCCCGAACGGCTTGCGTGGATATGTAAGAATGCGAAAGCCACAATGATTCTTTGTTCCAGGGACATGGCTGGGCTAGCGGCGCAGCTATCCTGCGAACACATTGTCCAGGTGGATGGAAGCAGCACCACCGAGAACAAAGTCTCGCCGACGGCTTGCAGAGTTCAACCCTGCCAGACGCTTCCCAGCCATGCCCTATGCGCCGTATATACCTCTGGGTCGACGGGAACGCCAAAGGGCGCTGTCATCGATCACTCAGCCCTTGCCACTCAAATCACCGCCCTTGGGCCTTGCTATAACATGAATCATCAGTCCCGTGTATTCCAGTTTGCATCTCACGCCTTTGATGTAGCTGTTGGAGATTACCTGTTTAGCCTGGCCCTTGGAGCGTGCGTGTGTATCCCCAAGGAAACAGAAAGCCGGGACAACCTCGCTGGCGCCATCAGAGAACGCAAGGCAAATTGGACCTTCCTGACACCTTCAGTCGCTCGAACTTTGGATCCTCGTACTGTACCGGAGATTAAGGTATTGGTAATTGGTGGAGAGTCCGCCAGGCCAACAGACTTTACGACTTGGTCAGGCGCGGTGAGACTGTTCTACGTCTATGGTCCTGCTGAATGCACCATTTACACCACTGTGCAGACCAAGACGCAGCCGAATGCTAATCCGGCGAATGTTGGATTAGGAGTCACAGCCGCATGCTGGCTGGTAGAACCCAATAATCCAGAGAGGCTATCTGCAATTGGGGCGGTTGGGGAGTTATTGATCGAGGGTCCAATTGTTGCTGGTGGTTACCTTGGAGATGAGGACCTCAGTAGCTCATCCTTCATTCCACCCCCACGGTGGTTGCGCGTTCTAAGGGAAGGCAAACAAGCCAAACGACTCTACAGAACAGGGGACATGTTGCGATACAGCCCCATAGGCGATGGGTCGCTCGAGTTTGTCGGCCGGAAAGACAAACAGATCAAGCTTCGCGGACAAAGAATGGAGCTTGCAGAGATTGAGCATCAGGTTACGCGGTCTTTTCCCATGGCAACCGATGCCATAGTGGAGGTTATTACACCCTCGGATTTGGAAAGCCAGAAGTTACTGGTTGCATTCGTCTGGGACGCTGCCAATGCTATAGATCAACCTGATTCAGGCAAGCTGCCGGAATCAAACGTGTTTGCCGCACCCGATAGATCTTTCCAGCTTCGGTCTTCGAGCGCAGAGGTCGCACTACGGAAGAGCCTGCCGCCCTTTATGGTCCCTTCGTTATTCATTCCACTAAAGCAGTTACCACTTGGCCCTACCGGCAAGGCCAATCGGCGCCTTATGAAAGACCAAGCCTGCCTGCTCTCCCGACAGGAGCTCAGTATCTACCAGGGCTCTAAGCCATCCATCAAGATGCTTCCATCTAATGAGTCAGAAGAAAAGATACGCCAACTTGTAGCCGATGTCCTCGGTCTAAGTGCGAATGACGTGGGAATGAATGACAACTTTTTCCACCTTGGCGGTGACTCCATCAGTGCCATGGTTATTTCCGCACGGGCGACTGACATGAATCTGGGATTGACGGCGGCCAACATCCTGGTTCATCCTCGCCTCCGGGACATGGCTACTGTAGTCATACGTGAGAGTATTGACCGGGGCTCCTCCTCTGAAGAACACCCGCCGCCACCACCTTTCTCGCTACTCCCAACGAGCTATCACCACGAGGAGTTGATGCGGGAAGTGACGAAGCAATGCAATATAGACGGGAATAGTGTGGAAGACGTATATCCCTGCACACCACTACAGGAAGGATTATTCGCTCTGACGATAAAGCAACCTGGTGCGTACGTCTTCAATTTCACACTCGAGCTCGCTCAAGATGTTGATGTGGATCGTTTCCAAAACGCATGGGACATTGTGATGGATGCAAATCCTATCCTTCGCACGAGAATAGTCTGTGCCACCAGCATAGGAGGCAACTTGGTACAGGTTGTCATGCGCAAGGCCAGCTACAGGCGATCAATCACCAGAGCTGGCGAGCACTCTGTTAGCCTAGGCGAGCCATTGTTTAGCATCCAGATTTTGGCACCAGACAAGGATGTGGATCGATATCGAGCAGTTGTGACTATTCATCATGCTCTCTATGATGGGGTATCTCTAGGCTTGATTATGACACAACTATCAACAGCTTATTATAATGGCGAGAGCCTAAACTCACAGCCATATAGCTGCTTCGTCCGACACTGCCTCTCACTGCCCGCAGAAGATGAGCTCAAACGCTTCTGGGACGCCGAGTTGGCCAACGCTACTTGTGCATCACTCACAACAGTGTCTATGGATTCCTATTTCGTGCAAGCCCCGAGATGCACGGAACGTCGTATTACCCTTCCATCCGAGGCACACCTCAACACCCCGTTGTCAGCAGCGCTCAGATTCGCTTGGGGAACAGCCTTGTCGATGTTTACTGGAGAAAGCGACGCTGTCTTTGGCACTGTAATCAGCGGCCGAATGACAAATCTTAGAGGCATTGACAAGATCTCTGGACCTACCATTGCGACTGTCCCGTTTCGAATTCGACAGGTGCCCGCCATGACCATCCAGGATGCTCTGGATGAAGTGCAGTCGCGAAGCGTAAGAATGATTCCCTTCGAACAGACCGGGTTGCAGCGGATCCGTAAACTCGGTTATGCCGATGCTTGTCGGTTTCAGAGTCTCTTGATCGTACAATTCTCAGAGGAAGAGGACTTTCCCGAAAGCCCCTTATACCAACAGGTTCAGGGAGAACCAGGCCCGGCATTCCACACCTATCCACTGACAATAGTGTGCACACCGTCAGCCGATTCCGTCCATGTTCGCGCGACGTTCGACTCGGAGGCGATACCTTCGATCTCGGTAGAACGACTTTTGGCTCAATACTCTGACATCCTCATGTACATACATGCCATGCCGTGGAAGCCTGTGTCTTCCATGCCTTCACAAAGCATGGAAGATGCGAGACGAGTATGGGCCTGGAACGAGATTGTCCCGCGCCGGGAAGATACCTGTGTCCATGAGATCATTGCGGACAACCTTGCTAAGCGACGGGGTGCTTCCGCAGTCTGTGCATGGGATGGTAAGTTGACTTACGGAGAGTTAGAGGACATGTCGGCAAGACTTGCAGCGCACTTAACAGGTCTCGGGGTAGGCATTGGGACTATGGTTCCACTGTGCTTCGAGAAATCATTATGGGCGATAGTTGCTACATTGGCAGTGCTCAAGGCCGGCGGTACGTTTGTTCCTCTGGACGTGTCACAGGCCGCAGGTCGTCGAGACGCTATCCTAGCCCGCGTAGGAGCAGAGGTGATATTAACATCCGCCAAACATGCTGCCACGCTTGCTGGAGTTAATCGGATTATTATTCCCGTGCATAATGCGAGTATAAAGACGTTACCCATGGTGACCGCCCCCTTGTCTAGTCCAACCCTTGATGGGCTGGCCTCATCTGGGGCATACGTGTTCTTCACGTCTGGAAGCACCGGCCAGCCGAAAGGGGTTGTTGTAGATCATGCCGCGCTCAGCACCAGTTGCCTCTCCCATGGGGCGAGGATGGGGTTCAACGAACACACAAGGACACTTCAATTTACCTCATACACATTCGATATAAGCCTGATGGAGATATTGACGACCCTCGTCTACGGGGGTTGCATCTGTGTGCCATCCGACTCGGACAGGTTCAATGATCTGGAGCTGAGCGCCGACACCATGGAGGTCAATACTATGTCTCTCACCGCGTCCGTGGCAAGACTTGTGGAGCCACAACGCATACCCTCCCTGCAAACCATCATATTTGTGGGGGAAAATGCCAATGATGATGATTTTAAGAAGTGGGCACACATTCCTCAGATCTTCGACGCGTATGGTCCCACTGAATGTACCATCTTCTGCTCAATAAACCAGGTCCAAGTCAGCAACGGCGGTGGTTCCCAGATCGGAAATGCTGTCGGTGCCGTGTCCTGGGTCGTGTCTCCAGATGATCATAACCGGTTGGTGCCAATTGGAGCTGTCGGAGAACTGCTCGTAGAGGGACCACTTCTGGCCCGAGGCTACTTAGGCGACGCGGAAAGGACATCGGCAGTCTTCGTCGAGGATCCAAGTTGGCTAGTACAGGGTATCACGGGTCATCCTGGCAGACGAGGACGACTGTACAAAACAGGCGACCTGGTGCGCTATAACGAGGACGGGAGCTTGATGTACTTGGGGCGTAAGGACACTCAGGTTAAGATCCGCGGTCACCGTGTGGAGTTGGGTGAAGTGGAATGCCATGTTCGCGACTGTATGGTCGACGTGAAGCAGGCGGTCGTGGTGGCCACTGCTCCGGATGGAGGGGATGCTGGACCTGTGTTGGCGGCTTTTTTGTGCTTTGGGGATGTGAAGCTTCCATCGGAAGACGATGCCCGTGCCATTACAATCCCATGGTCGGTAAGAGACGCACTTGCCGATCGTTTACCGACGTATATGATACCCAGTGTCTACATCGCTGTTGGGCGACTGCCACTAAATACATCTGGCAAGATGGATCGCCGTCACCTCCAAAACATCGCCACGGATCATTTCCGAGCAAGGCTGGCCAAGGGAAGAATAAAGCGGGACCAGGACAACTTCCGTGATGAAGCGGGATTTAAGCTGCAGAGTACATCTCTACCTTCAACATTTCGTGACTGTTCCAACAAGACAGAACGACGGTTAAGAGCATTTTGGGCGAAAATCCTCGGACTCAAAAGCGAGACGATAAGTGTCGATGACAACTTTTACGACATTGGCGGGGACTCTATTCGAATCATCAGCCTCATAAGGCTAATCCAGAATGAATTTGGTACTCATTTGGGTGCGTCCTTGATCAATAGCCGCAATACAACAATTGCCAAGATGTCAGAGTGTATTGATACAAAGTCTGAGGAGGGTCCAAGATTGGACCTGGAGGGAGAGATAGGAGCTGCATTATCCTCCACCTGGACAGCAGCAGTCTCTCAGTCATGGTTCAACCCATCCAAGCTAGTGGATACACACGCTACAGTTTTCCTCACTGGCGGAACTGGGTATCTCGGCACCCAGATTCTACGTTGTCTTCTAACATCGAATACAGTTGAACAGGTAGTGGCTCTTGTACGTGCCGCCTCTGCTGCTCAAGGCCTAGCAAGGTTGAAACAGACAGCAGCTATTGCGGGATGGTGGAGGACAGAGTACGAGACACGCATCGAGGTGTGGATAGGAGATCTCGAACTTCCCAAGCTGGGGTTGAGTGACTCCCAATGGCGTCAGTTGTCCGGCACGGCGACAACCAACAATATTGGCGCCATCATTCACAACGGCGCCCTCGTGAACTGGAATATGGACTATGATAGACTACGGCCATCAAACGTGCTTTCCACCGTTGAGCTTCTCAAGGCTGCCGTTCTGTCTCGTGATTCACCACGGTTTGTTTTCGTGTCTGGCGGCGCCATAGCTGAATTACAAGCCAGTCCTGGAAATCAGGCTGCTGTGGAGCAGCTAAGCCGGAGTAACGGGTACGCCCAGAGTAAATTTGTTGCCGAGTCCATCGTCCGTCGCTTTGCGTCTCAATTACCGCTGTCTCAGAACCGGTTCTCAGTCATCAAGCCAGGCATGATCATCGGAACCGCCGATGAAGGTGTTCCTAACCTCGACGACTTCATCTGGAGAATTGTCGCCACTGCGTCGCGGTTACAGCTGTACCCCCTGGAGACCGAAGAGCGCTGGGTGCCCATCACCGATGCAGGGTTTATTGCAACACAAACTGTGACCCAGATACTCTCAAACGACATCTCGTCATACATCAATGCAGCGACTCAGTTTGGCCTAAGCACTTCTGAGTTTTGGGCACAGGTCAATTTCGAGTTAAAGCATACATGTCAACCAGTCCGATGGGATCTTTGGGTGGAACGAGCTCTGGACGATACAAGTCAGGTTGGCGAAAGCCATCCACTTTGGCCGGTGCAGCAATTTGTACGAGGCAGGAAGCAGGACGCCATTTCCATCCCATCTCCGCTCTCTCCTCCAAATAGAAAGGTACTTCACGAGGCTGTACAAGCTAATGTGCGTTACCTTGGCAGGGTGGGGTATCTTGAATGCCGAGACAGTGATTATTTGAAAGACCAGCCTGGAATTCTTCATCGGTCAACTGCTGTCCCAGCTCCCAACATCGAGATACATACCAACTCTAGACTCAACCCCTCACCACGGAGATCAGCAGTTTAATTAGATAGATTTCATCTGTGGTTTATAATAATTTCACAATGAGATTCTGGAATTTAGTTAAATGCGTAGGCCTTCATCTACGAAAGTTGCCGTTGCTCATAAGCCACAATATATATTCCGGGCCGATTCCCCAACAGATCCGTGACATTATCTTTCTAGATGATTAAAACTGTATAAAGATCCTGTCGTCTATTAATGGTATATTTAGTATAAAATAGATAAACACACCCCTTTGTCACAACGATCAATAAACAGTTGCTCCCTACATGGTCCCTTGAAGAATCTTATATCCTGGTGATGAAAATGGCGAACAAATGCATTGATCTACATTATGTGTCCGGCGGAAAATACTCGTTACGTACAAGATATGGTCGTCTCACCACATTAGTCTCTTCCTCCTCCAGCCAGTTAATGTGCATGTCAGCTCGAAGGATCTGGGACATTGTAACCGCCATATTGATCCCTACGCCACGGCCAATTTTATGCAGACACTGTGCAATCCATTCCCGCATTTTCAGCGACGCGCCCCGGCAGTCGGACGCAATAAAAAGCGGCCACATCAAGCGAATAACACCGCCAGCAAACGGAATACCCAAGGTTGGCCCATCGGATGAGCTGGTCAGGCCCAGATGATACGGTACACTCGCACATATATCCTCCGCTAACTGTTGGGAGATTGCGGTGCTCTGCCTCTCGCTTTGTTGGTATGATCCCCCTCCTTCAGATTCCTGAAAGTGAGTGGCGAAAAGGTATCCAATGATGCCATGGAGAATGATGCGAATGAACCGATAGTGGTTCCAAGCCATGCTCACTGTGCTATTAGGGTAGATATGATAATGGTCACTGTATATATGGCGGACGGTATCGTTCTCATCATCGGGCTTCTTGACCTTAACAACGGCGTATTTCCATCTCGGATCAATACTCATCGCCCACGTAATCAGCTCGGCATCAAGGTTGAGAGCTCTTTTAAGAATCCTAGCTGGATGGGCAAAAGCGCTCTCGTTAATAGTTGCAACCAGATCACCGACTTCCACCAAGATCCGAAAGAAGTAGTCCAGCACCTGGTCCCCGGTCTCGCCACGGTGCTTTAGAGCCTCTTTGGACAGGTCTAGCAGCCATGACGGGGTGCGTTGCTTTTTGTATAAATTTCCCAATGCCTGTCGTCGTCTGCCATTAGCCCATTGCTAGTTCCCTTCGATGCGAGTATGACGTACAATTTGTGTCCGGATCTGCGTGAATAACTCCAAGCCCGCTTGATGCTGTACTTGGTCGAATCCACGAAGCTCAATCAGTTTCACACCCCCTTCTATATGGTTCAACCAGCGCCCTATTAAAGGTACACCCTCGCACGTCAGGATCTATGCTGTCCATTAGCCTCAGAGTAACCATGCGACAGGTAATATGCAAGAGCTACTTACCTCATACAGCGACAAGAGTTCAACTGCTGCCAAGGTTGAGTCGGACCGTGCACATTCCCGGTCGCGTAGGGCTTTACTAGTGGCGGACAGTGCCGCACTATATTCATGTCGTGCAGCAGACATTAACTCGGGCGACATATGAATATTAGCCAGGGACGCGAGTCCCAGGGCGCTGATGCAGGCCCTGACCGCGGGACTAGTATCCTGCCTAAAAAGGGTTGGCAGGAAGTCAAGATGACCTCGAGTGTGCTTTGCGTTTCGGACATAATGTGAAAAGATAAAACCTGACGCTTGGTCATTCACCGAGAATGTGAGAGATGAGAATATTGTAGGCGCTGCTTGTCGGTAGCCATTGGCCGAGGACGGACTTGGTCGTTTCGAGCATGACAGGGCCTTCGTCGACACCTTAGTACTATTCTGTTGGCGACGGGCCTTTCCTATTACTTCCTCACTCTGATCATGAAAGCTCAGGGTCGCTATGTCGCGATACCCCGAGCATTCTCGATGAGCGCGGACGCATTGTGAGCAGGACGGCCTCCGCTGATCGCACTGTATAGACTTAGTACGTAGTTACACCCGCAGGTTGGAGTAGAATGGATCGATACGCCACGTACTTTAAGGCGTCTAGTCCGACAGGGCTCACAGGCAGGACTGGGCTTCCCTCGATAAACCATTGAGCTGCGGGCTGAGAGAAGAGAATATGGAGCTACGAGTTGGATACCCGAAAGAGTAAGATCGGGTCCAGAGGACGAATTAGTGGGGTTTCGGGAGTCGGAAAAAAACGACTCGAGACTTTTTACTCTTACTTAACCAGCCTGCCAAGAATGGGCGTACCAGATATTTGCGGCTGCGATCTCCAAGAGAGAGGCTGTGCACTTTCGTTCTCTACGAGTTGTATCCTCATTTGGGTTTAGTGAGTCCCTAGCCTGAAGGAATTAAGCATTCTGCTGCCTATTCATGAGCAAATGAGGTTTTGATCCTCACACCTTGAGTGCTAAGCCTCCCAGCCTGCCCTGAACGAATTGCCCCGTAGAGCGCGTCATTATCTCTCCTTAAACTAGAAGAGATACAAAAGTATTTGTTGGTAGTCAGCCATTTTTTCTCTTGTTTCATGTTTTCTTTCTTTGGCTGTCTATTTTCTTTCTCTTTTTTCTTTTCCTTACTCAACCCGTTCTGCTTAGCCACTGCTACGAGCTACATTCCCAAAGCGGAAACTCAAGTAGAGCCCTAAGTTGACCTTGGACTGTATAGACGAATTTGCGTAAATAAATACTTTTAGACGCCCTGTCTACCTTAGAAGCCCGTACTGTAACTTTATATCTCTTGCATTGTCCATTACATCCAGTCTCTTCACTCATTATCGCTATAATTCGTTCCAGCCAATTACAAAGATTTCTTTTTGTTCAGTAAACACAAGCGACCGAACCAATTTTACGACCAATATGAACGAGATATTTCCGGCTGATCTCGCAGTTTACCTCTTTCTGACTCCCTTTGTGCTCTATGTTTATTGGTCTCATCGATGGATTGGTTGGCTAGCTTGGACCAACCTGGTCGTTTTCTGTATTGTGCGAATAGTCGGGGGTGCTATGGGAGTGAACGACAGCAGTAGCATCGCAGCGAACGTCATATCCGGGATAGGAATGTCCCCACTATTGTTGGCCATCGATGGACTTTTACATGAAGCGTACGTTTACACCCTCCACCGGGCCAACAGAAATCCTCTAACACAGTCGGGCTGCTTATAGTCGGTATTACCGCCATCCAGAACACAACGTTCTCCTCGGTCGGATAGTGATCATTGCGATCACTGGTCTTATGGGCGCTGGTCTCGGTCTTAGCATTGGAGGATCATTGCAGGTGTACCAGGGTAAAGGGACGGCTACGGACCTGTCGCACTGGAAGGTGGGAACGGGCTTAGTTGTCGCTGTCTGGGCGATGGAAGTGGTGTGGGCAATCTTCTCCCTCCTGCCATCTCAGTGCAAGAAGGATGCTCCTGGCTATAAAGACGGTACAAAGGTATGTTTTCCGATTAATGAAAGAGTGATGTTTCATGAGTCCTGACGTCTCTCGCTTTATTAGCTTATGTACGGTGCTCTTGTTGCCATCGTATTCGCCGGTGTTCGGGTTATCTATAATCTGGTCGCAGTTTGTACACAGAGACAGGACTTGAGTCCCGTATTTGGATCCGTCGCAGTGCGCGTTATCCTCGTCTTTCTCCCTGAAGTGCTCGCTGCGCTGTCGATGATGTTCGCAGGGCTCCGGACCAGGAATATTCGAAAACACACGCAGGTGGCGGACAAGGAGGAGTCGATCTCAGCCTAAAAATTGATATAGCATATATATACATCGGTGCAATCTTGGATACAGAGGTCCCTATGAAATTGGCGCTCGAGGCTTATTGATACCCATTTCCATTTGTATTATTTTGTTTATTTGCATCCCTCGAGCTCTGGAAATAATGTCAAAATTCGCTTTAGATACTTATGTGGCAGCCACAAAATTGAACTCATGTAACACGGATTATACATGATCCACTACGACGGTGTACCCTTGTAATGCGCCTAATAAATAAAATCACCCGGCAAAATTTCCCACGATGACTAGAAAATCAAAAATAATCCCTCAGGTGTAATCTGAGATCCTGTGGATCCTTCTATCGCATAACATAAAGCTGAGAGAGGAATTGCTGGTGTCTCCACACCGTAAGCATGAGCAAAAGTGTACATGAATCACAATTTTAAGACGCTCCTCTGTGCACTGAGGTGAATAAACGCTAGCGGAGATCCTGTGAGATTCCAGGGCAATACGAACTAGTTACCGGATTTGGTAAAGTATAGCCTCGTAGGCTCGATCAAGCTTCCGCTAAGGCTCGCAATGCGCGAAGCGAAGTGGATCAGCGCAACTGTAAGCCAGTCCATATCGTCAATGAAAGTACAGATCGACCTGTGAAGTCATTACCAAAAAGGGAAACCGAAGGTCTCTCGCATAATTGTGATCCAAGCCACGTTGCAGGCTATTCTCGGTACTTCAGCAACAATCTATGGAGTCAGCCTCAAGCGGTATAAATACCTTGCCATGAGCGGTATCCAGAGGTATTCTAGAAAAGGGATACTAGCCTTAAGACAGCCTCAGTCCTAAGATTCTGTTCGCAGCCTTACTTAAAAATACTCCTTGATCTTCTCTCTCTCCCTCTTCGACGTCCAGCCTTTGCCTAAGAAATAAATATTATTTCACCATGTGTCTCCTGTTACCGATTCTGTTACACAAATCGCGCAAGTCAAAGAGGGACTTAGCCTCTGGTCAACATGCAGAAGAGCAGCAGTTGCGCCCGGTCATAAGGGATTTACGAACGCCTGAGGAACAGCACGGACATGAGCCGAATATCCATTCGGGCCGGAAGTCCTAATAGCTACTCTGAGGTAGGTAAACAACATGGGCGGTATCTGCTCAAGTTATGTTGACACGAAACTAGTGCGTTTTTTGTTGTGCTATTACACCTTTACATGTACCAAGCAGGAAGGGAGTGATGGCCTGTGCGCATGGCACAAAGGGAGGAGGGATTGGACTGTTATCTTGTTTAATTACTATCTTCAATGCTAAAGTGTATATGAATGAATGTCATTGTTTCATGAGACAGTCCCACTCATAGTTGTGCCCGACCCGCACTGGCGTCGAAGGTCTTCCGACCTCGAGCCCAGGTTTGCTCTACCTTTGCCTTGAGTAGGCTCTCGGCCTTCCAATCCATATCCAGGACCACAAAATCCGCGCTCAACCCAGCCTTCAAGCACCCCGTCCACGAATCTGCCCAACGGGAATAGGCCGCTCCAGTTGTGGCGGCACTAACGGCAGCAGCTAGAGGCAATCCAAAGTGAGAGTTGACCGTTTCGGTACACTCAGGCTCGATGGCCGATCTCCGGGTAGTAGCATTGTACAGATTTGGTAGGGCAGGGTGGGATGCGGTGGGTGAATCCGTACCAAACGCTACTGGAGCGCCGCCCTCAAGGAATTCGCGGTAGGCAAATGCCCGGGTACAGCGATGCTTTCCAATGAGTTCCGGCCAGGCCCGGAACAGAGCCGGGTCCGAATGAACTGGCTGAACCGACGCCGTGATTCCAAGTTGACCCAGGCGTTTCGCATCCTCGGGCGAGGTCAGCTCGAGATGTTCGATGCGATGACGACGGCCAGGCTGTGCTAAAGATAGCGCATCGATAGCGTTCTTGACAGCCTTGTCGCCAATAGCGTGAATAGCGATCTGCAGTCCAGCCGCATCTGCCTTCTTCACCACGGCTTGCAGAAAATCCGTGGGCCAGATCGGATCCACCGGATTCTCGCATCCCTGATACGGATCTGTCAGGGCAGCAGTACAGCCGTCAACCACGCCATCGCACATCAATTTGATGCCTGCGATACAGAACGTCGGAGATGTGGCCGGATTATATTCACGATTAAGAGTGATCGCTCGATCCACATGTCCAAACACCACATCCAGGTCATCACTCGGTGGGATCACCCAGTGCGCCGCAATATGGAAGGGAAAGTTTTCCCCATGTCGCTCTCGCCAAGCCTTCAACACGTCCCATTCAACATCGTCCATAGCCATATCAATCATCCCCGAATATCCAGCCGCCGTATACGCCTCCGCCGCATCATCTAAAGCATCCAGTTTAGCTTCCAGCGGGGTAGCCCTAGCCAGAAACTGAGGAACGATGCCCAAATGGGCCATCTCACTCAACAAACCCGACGGCTTCCCATTCTCATCCCGATGAATCGTTCCACCAGGAGGATCAGCCATGGTGGCGACCCCTAGCTCTTCTAACGCAGCGGTATTACACCACCCCGAATGCAGGTCATTGGCATGGATATAAATCGGCCGCGGATCCAGATCATCCAACATACTTGCAAGCGCCTCTCCCCCGGTTGTCGACTGGACCCAGCTTTTGCACATAATTCTGGGATCCTCCGGATGAGCTTCCGCAAAGGCCTTGATAGCTTGTCGAATCTCCTCTAATGACTTGCATGACAGAAGGCTGAGCTTGCGGCGCGACAGCGCAAAGTCGACAATGTGCATGTGGCTATCGATGAAACTTGGGACCACAATCTTGTTCTGTAGGTCCACCTCGTGAGCTCCAGAGTCTTTTGCTTGTTGAATAGCATCATGATTTGGGGATCCGACATATTGTATACGGTCCCCGGTGATTATCATCGTTTGTTGGAAGTCAGATCCATCCGAGGTGGTGCTTGGCGTGAAGATGCGCCCGTTGGTGAGGATTGTGGACGCCATGCCGGTCTTTCGTTTATGTGTAATAGATCAATTTATAGTACTTATGTTTTGCTGATCAAGGAAGTACCTCGTAGGTTACTGATATACAAGAGGGAGGAATGGCGATTTATATATGCCTTGCCATAGTCGGATGTCGAGAGTCAGGATGGAGGTAACCCTGCGCAAAGTGACGCCATTGGTCTAGGTGGCCGACGTTCCCCACATCCAGATCGCCTTGGCAGGTGAAATTTGGAGATGCGTTGTGGAGTAGGAATGGGGGTGGGGGTGGGTATACATTGCAAAAGGTATCTATATGCGATATACGAAGGAGAGCGGACTCATTGCGAGGGTAAATAGTGCTCTAGCTCAATTTTATGAAACACTCATCTATTTGATTTTAGGCTTAGAATGTCTATACTATTGTTTATCCTCTCAATAAACTCAACAGGCAGACTAACCAGTCAGGCGATTACCGCCTTCTATCTACTATCTCACTCTTCAAGAACATCGTGTACACTCCTCCGTAAATAAGCCAGGGTACCCCCCCCCCCCTTCCACACACACACACACACACACACACACACCCTAACCTGCAGCCACAGCACTCAAGTAATAGTCGGCGGTACTGATACGCGCCTTCCGACCCCAAATCATCATGGGGATGACAAAGACCAAAACTCCAAAGCACAGGCATCCAGCGCTGATAAACATATTCTGAACACCAAGCCCGGTCATCCATGGATTGATAGCGAACGATATACCCGTCGAGACTAGGTTGCGCACGAATGTAATGACGACGAGACCCTCGGCGACAAGCTGGAATCATCAGCGACTAGGCTATAGGACAGCTAGGGAGTAAGGAAAGGAGGAGGGATAGGTCAGGCATACCTCACGATAGGAATCTCCATAGTATGGGAGAATAATCGATGTTATGGACCCAATTCCAAAGCCCACAAATGAGGATCCAATTAACGGGACAATCCACGGTTGTTCCTAGAAAGTCATTCTGTTAGCGAGGGCCTCTGATTATCACCCGGGATGTAGTGGAACGTACATTGGCAATGCTAATACCATAAAGGAAGAGTCCTAGAGGGCATACTACCAGGGGCACAAGAAGCATATGCAATCTCAGCTCCGGGTCATAGATTCCAGCTCGGCGCCGGGCCATATACACGACGTAGTAATCATTAAGAGGACCGCCATATATAGCCCCTATGACGGCACCGATGAAAGGGGCAATATTAATATTACCCACACCTACAGACGAAAAGTTGTAGGGGGGTTCTGCAAACAGGATAGGCTGTGTTGTGGCTAGGATGGCTATCCAGCACATCATGAATGAATATTCGATGCCCACAAAGGCCACTGCTGGGATGCGAAAGAAAAGGAGAAATGGCGTCCACATATGACGCCAGTATTGTTTCAAGGTAATGCTGTCAGTAGGCCCAAAGGCAGTCATTCTTTCCAAATATGTCTTCCGTGGCGGGATAGGCTCCTCCGCAACCCTTTGCGGGATTGTCTCGCAAGGGGGTGGCATCGCCTTTTCTTTGTCAAATTCAGGGGCTGTAGACTGCTTTTCCTCTACTCCCAGTGCCACCGGGGGATCTTCACCAATATAGCAGTTCCCTGCAGGCCTTCCATATTTGGTCTCTTCGTAGGCGAAAATTATCAAGAGTAGAACCAGTGCGTTGAGAATAGCACACCACCACCATACCCAGCGCCATCCCTGGCTACTTATAATATATCCGGCTGGAATGAGGCTTAGGTATGTCTAGAAGCAGCGATCGTTAGTTTGAAAGGTGATGGAGTTCGAAGGAATAGGGCCTTACCCCGACGACCACCATTATTGAATAGATACCATTCATCGTTGCACGCTGGTGAACGAAGAAAAGATCCACGATCTGTTAACTCGTATATTATAAGCTCAGAACCAGAGAAAGATCCTGTCACAAGGCAAGCCGTACTTACAGTCATCTGAATGATAGTGTCGTTGACTGAGCCTGCGAGTCCCGCTATGGCCTGTAGCACGATATACTGGGCTCGGGTCTGGAACGAAGCTTGACCTATATTCGCCAGCACCATTGTTAAAGAAGCGAAAATATATACGGGCTTTCGCCCAATTAAGTCAGCCGCAGGGATGAAAAAGATGCAGCCGATGGCCATCCCTGCCAATCCAGCGGCATAGCTGTTGTTGAGATACTTCGAGCCATAACCGAGCTCGTCTGTCAGGGAAGGCCAGGTCACAGTTCCAACGTCCAAGCTAGCCATGTGTCAGTACCATTTGAAAGCTCTAGGTGGGTAACAGAACCATACGTTGCAAAAACCATCAAGGTGAACAGACAAGCAATGGAAAAGTTGATGGCCTTCTGGTAAGTGGGCCAGTTCTATATGATACTGCTCGTCAGCTCCTAATCAGGCAGCTATACTGGGGAGTAGATGAAGGTATTTCACGCCCGGATAACTTACCAATGGCTCATTTGGATCGTTCGATGGTTGTGGCTGGAGAATAACATGGCCGTCGGCATCTTGTTCGACTCCGTCAAGATCTATGCGACCTTCACGCCGTTATTGTTAGTCCCGATGTGCGAATCTTGCAATAGAACCATGCTGGATATCTACCCTCTCCGAAATAAACCGTCCCAGGTGGCGTCCGTGGCCTTGCCGGATTATGTCGTCGTATTTCGGATGACTCGGTCATCGAGGCTCGCAATCAGCAGGTACGCGTGGCAAGATTTCAATGGTTTCAAAGATGAACGATGAAAGGGAATATCAATGTTGAGACTGTAAAGCCAGTGATCCAAGAGATAGGAGTTTTTGACAACATTCGCCGTGGGAGTATCTATGTCTACAAGATGATTTCGAAAAAGGAGTTGATAGCAAGCAGACAATATGCGAGCCAGCCGTGATATATACGATCCATTATCTTGTGTAGGAGAGGGGAGGGACGACGGGCTATGATGAATGAGTAATGCAATATCCGATTCCAGATATTCGTATAGACGATCTAGTAAGTGACAAGCCTTCATTCAAAGGCAGTCGTGTGGAAGCGAAGAAAAGGACATGCTGCGGGAGTTTGATATCCACATGATTACCCGATCTGGCGAGAATCGCGCAAATTGATGCCATTGGCTGGTTTTGCCCAAAATGTGGGACCTCTCGGCCAGATTGTCCAATTAGATGGCCCCTGAGATGGTCCGTCTTCGTGGCGGAGGCAAAGGATTGAGAGCTGGTTGAATCCGGACCAAACCTCCTGGCCTTGTTGAATTTCTATGACCGCCCCTTTCACCTTCTTAACAGGCTTGATACATGTCCTGTCGGACTGATCCCTGCCTTGAACCCCGCAAAAACTCTTCTAGGGTATGCCACACCCCACAACCTAAGATTTCCCCACACGAGAGATAACCACTCGATGATAGTGTGTCATTGAATCAGAATACTGATGCCTTATCAGATAGTGGATAAGCGACAGCAGCACTTGACGTTGGTTCGTTGGGGTACTGATATCAAATCCCAAACATTTCCGCCACAGCGTTCTCAGCAGCGTGAATTAGTGCTGCTGCTATTCGTAACCTGGCGGCCATAGGATACACATTCCCCATTGGGTCAAGTGCTAAAAATAGTTCTTTTGTTGACCAGGGCTTTATCGGTAGTAGGGTTGCCAAGTAGATTCTGAGTCCTCTTGGCCGTTGCAGGAGGTATCTAGCCGCTCGGAACGACGCACATCAGGGCATTGTGCGTCTATTAGGGGATATCTTCCAGATTGAATGCATGGATAGGCCCTAAGTCAACTGATATGGCCTCGTTGGCAGAACAGTTGCCTCTACTAGACCCAGGATTTGGTTCCAGTCCATCCGAGATGACACCTCGAACGAAAAACTACCGTCCACCTCGTCGACGACCGGCGCATCTGCGCACAAAGACTGGCTGCCTTACATGTGGGTCACCCCACTTCGCAGTCTCTGCTGGAAGTTTATAACCGTTCGACTAATAAACCTTTATAGGCAGGAAGAGGAAGAAGAAGTGCGACGAGACCCCGGGGACATGCTCCAATTGCGCCCGAAAATGGCTTTCCTGTGAATGGCCTGTGAACCTGCGTGGGAATCAAAAGCACACCAGGCGTGAACACCCGTCGTCCACCAAAGCTCATTTAGAACATTCTCCTCAGCTTTCTATCAATGAATGGCATGCTAGCCAGCATGCATTTGTGGCAGACTATGCGGCTGGCGCTTCTCCCTCTTGGGATACCGAGGGAGAAAGGGAGGTGTTTCCTTCTCCCATGGAATCTAATACACCAAACAGCCAAAATGACTACATGATGACTCCTTATAGCAGCTCTCCATCTATTCTCAATTATATCTCCCCATTGATCTGTGTATCACCCGCCATAACCCCTGCCAGCGCTCCTTTGTTCGACTTTCTGAGGGCTGTCTTTCTGCCTCAGTTAATCCGTCCAATGGCACATAATACAGTCATTAAATGCGCGACCGGCGAATCGTTAATGCTAGCATTACATACTCCTTTCTACATGCATGCCCTTCTAGCATGTTGTGGTGCAGAAATACCGGTAGACGACATGTGCTCGCAGGTACATTTCCAGAAGCTTGCCCGCATGCATTACGTCAAAGCCATAGCAGGACTACGTGAAAGTCTTGACAGCGGTATTGTCGATGCTGGGAACGCAGCAATTATTCGAACCTCACTTATCTTGTGCATCTATGAGGTGAGATTATGTATCGAGCGTTTGTTGAACATTACTAAAGAATAGAAATAGAGATCAAAACCACGCCTCTCAAGGGGCGTGGATGCCCATATCCTTGGCCTCGCACAGTTGATTCAGCTACATTTTCGACATAAGCAAACAACGCCTGAACTTCAATCGGAAGCAGAGACCAACACAGCCCGGGTGATACTAGAAGCTTTTATATTCCATGCGACAACGAGCATTCCATTTCAGCAAACGACGAAGCAGCCTGAGCCTGTCGAGGCCGCCCTTTCACTAGCAGAGACTAGACTCCAAGAAATGTACAGATGGAAGGTACCGGTTTACCCCGAGTCGCCTGTCCTCGGAGCGCCACCGAAGCTGTTTGTATATGCTCGAGAGATCGCACTAATGCATGAGCGATCCTCTGCCGAAGGCATCGATATCGCAAGATGCCACGAGTTACAACAGCTATTGAGTCAATTCAACCAGAGTGGGACTGAGGAGCTGTATCCCTCGTCTAACGACGATCGGTTGGTCACAATTACACACACGCCGCTTCTCTTGGGTCCGAAACTATATATTGTCGTTTCCAATATACTTTTGGAGCACATGATCAACAACAACTCCACCATAGCTGGCGACTCTCTTCAAGAGTTAGTCTGCGAAGGTATGCGTTTGGTTAACGAACTTGATCCATCGACAGACTATTATGCCGAGTACTACTGTTGGCCAATGGTAGTCTTAGGAACCTATACCACTGATAGCGCACACCGAAATTGTCTTGTGGCCCAGGCCACGGCCTTTTGGAAGGCGACGAGGAACGGGACGATGAGACGGTTGGTGGATATGTTGACGACCTTGTGGCAGATATGAAACAATACAAGATACGATCAATTCCTGTGTACTTCTTATTTAGATTTGTCGGCAATTATATTAACCCCATCACTGGATGATGTATATAGTTCGACAACAGAACTTTCACTTGAGTCTGGCACTCTTTTTTTTTTTTTTTTGTTTTTTTTTTGTGACCTAAAGCCTTCAAATGCGTGTGTGCACCATATCTTTGCGAGTAGCATATGGTAACTTCTAATTTGTTAACTTCAATAAAATCGGATATATTGATCTGTAAGGGCTCTACGACGCTTTGCTCACTGAACGGGCCAAACCCCGATAGACAAGTCACAGGCAGCCACGTAAACGAGCTTGAATCCGATAGGCACCCATCAATCAATTCGCCGCGCCAAGCATAATAACCATTGAATCTATAATTATATTTGGGGGCGAGGAGTCTTTCTGTTGTCAGCCTTGACATCCCCGACCAGGCGTTTTTTTGCATTTGATCCTCATAGCATATTTTCGTCTACCTTGAAGAAAGAAAAGTCACTCATCGAAAGATTGGACCATGTGTCGAAATACCAGGTAGGTATGAAGTTAGAAAGAATTAGTTCGTCAAAATGATACGCGATCCGGTCCCCGCATTGCGCCTCTGTGGAAACGTCCTGCAACTCCTTGATTTGAGTCATCGGCTATTGGATCCAGCTAAAGAATTGGACCAGTCAGTCGATAGTCTAACTGTGGAATATACCGATCTTTACCAAATATACCACACGCTCAAGCAGTTACGCTATGGCCTCGCAATTAGGCTAACCATAGATTGGTCCATCGAAGAATCAATATCATACGGTGACGAAGGGCTTCAAAGCCTGGCGCAGTCTTGTCAAGGCATATGTGCACAATTACTTGTCGCAACAAGCCAGCTAGAACGCCATTACAGCTCTTCAAATGGCTTCACGTCGTTCCAGGAGGCACTGCAAGCGGTTTGGGACAAGAAGCCAATTGAAGCTCTAGAGGAAGGGTTGCTGGCATGCAGAAGGGAAACGATACGAGTTCTTACAATTATTTTCAGGTATATCGAAAGGTGCTATATTCCTAATAGGCAGGCTAATCAAAGATGGTTAGAGAAACTCAGTCTAGCGTCTACCAAGAGATACAGAGTCTAAAGGAGCAGAATCGACAAATAGACCAAAGCCAAACACGATGGCTTACGGATATTTTAGACACCCTCAGTGACATAGAGTGGCAAGCGACCGAGGTGTACATCGGGGATGAGATACCAGGCGTGACCAATACCATCAACCCAGACCATCTTCAAGATATGGCCCGTAGAATGCCGCATGCCATACAAAAAGCGTCAAAAGTCGCCTTTGTACAAAGATTCCTCAGGACACTACACTTTCAAACGATCAAGGACCGCCATGCGAGGATCGCGAAAGCCCACGAGAAGACCTTTACCTGGAACTGTGAGAAAATGATAGATACGACAACCCACCCTTCACATAGCCCAGCAATCGTTAATTGGCTGCGGGGACAAAATGATAGCATATTTTGGGTCTCTGGCAAGCCGGCATCAGGGAAGTCAACGTTTATGAAATATCTACTCGCTCACCCCCAGACCCAGGAAAACCTCAAAATATGGGCTGGAAGCGATAAGCTGGTTATTGCCAGTCACTTCTTCTGGGGTGCAGGAACTGACTTGCAAAACTCTAAGCATGGCTTGCTCCAGTCTCTTCTCTATGGCATATTCACCCACAGTCCGGATCTGATTCCCATTGCATGCCAGCAAAGGTGGGAAGCGATCATGCGCGACGAACACGGCGACAGCCCATGGTGTGTGAAAGAGCTGTTCGAGACGTTGAAAACTCTGATTAGCCAGACCATATTCCCATCCAAATTCTGCTTCTTCATTGATGGTCTGGATGAATACACAGGGGACCATTCTGAGTTGATTGAACTGTTGAGCTCTCTAGTTCAAGCCAATGTCATGATGTGTCTTTCTAGCCGGCCATGGAAAGTCTTTGAGGACGCATATGGAGAATCGACCGACCGGAAGTTATACCTGGAAGAGCACAACCGGGACGATATCCACAATTACGTTCAGAGTGAAATTGAACAACATTCAGCTTGGGGACTACTTGTCGGGGTCGACTCACGTACCAGTGGAATTATTGATGAAATTGCTGATCGGGCTCAGGGTGTTTTTCTCTGGGCGGTTCTGGTGGTGCGCTCTTTCGGTGAATGGTTGACGAATGGCGATACCTTGTTCTTCTTGCAGAAGAAGCTTAGAAGAATCCCTATCACCCTTGAGCTGCTCCTCAGGTCCATGATTGAGTCGATAGACCCGATATATACTTCCTATATGAGGCAGATATTCAAGGTTGCGTTAACTGCCCCTGAGCCCTTACCCGTGATGCCGTATGCCTCATTGGAAAGACAAATCGAAGATGACGATAATGCTCCACCACAGGAGAATAAACCTCTCACTTACAGAGACATCATACTGCGGGTTCACCAGCTCGATAGACAACTCACCCACATATGCAAAGGACTACTGGTAGTGTATCATTGCCATAATGAGGAAGACGCCCTGCGCTACCGGGTGGACTTCTTGCATCGAACCGTCCGAGACTTCTTTTCAACGAATGACACATTGCGGCACAAATAGCGTCCATCCAAACTAAGGTACACAATATACAGATGCGTTTTTATTATTATCAGACAACACATCGTGCACCTCGATCTGTTGTTCTCGTCCTTGGTAGATTGGCATAGTCATGCGTGCCTTCACGTCTAACACAATCAACACTTTTATATACCCGTAAAAGACCTTGGAGCGACACATTGTTTGACATTTACGCCCTAAGGGTTTTTCCACATCCTCCGCGCTCTAGCCCTTCAATAGTCTGCCGCTCGGCGCAAGGGCTAAATGATAGAGCTAAAACGTTCCTGGAGGGCACGTGGACCATTTGGCACACGCTGGGGGAAGAAAATCCCACTTTATATGATCAGTGAGCGGATTGGCAGTTAGCTAAATGGTTTGATATAAATAAAACAATTCAGTACGATGTAATGCCAAGAAGAGCATAGCCATTCAAGCAATTTTTCCCTCACGTCAGAGCAGCACTTGAAGCAGTCATCGGACATAAGGGGTGGTGGAAATAGAGAGGAAGGGGACGGAATACAAATTGAGGGGATATGGATTGCTAGACCAACTTGAATATGAGTGGAAAATATTGCCAGTGTTTGAAAATATAGGCAGTGGGAGGAGAAATCCTATCGCTCGGGGTGGACCAACCATCGAGTTAGAATATGGTGGGGAGTTGAAAAGTCTGGTAAATTCAAAGCCGGATGTCCGAGGGTACTCGCCCAACCTTGTATATATGTACATCAATTATTTTATGTGGTTTGTTGCACTAAATATTGGTGTACTGTGATCAAAATTCAAATCCAAGCGGTTCTGTTTGGTTTGGTGTTTTTGCTTGTAAATACGGAGTAGCAGGTTCGTTTATGGACAACTATTTGAGGCGCTGCACATAGATGAGAGGATCACATTCCCCTAGGTGCTCTGAATTGCCTTAGTGCTAGTTCATCAGGTCGGTTGATTCTAGAACCGTTTTCGTAGCCTCATGGCTGATCGTCACCCCACTGTGGGTTTACTCCTGAGCAGATTTACGGAGTACACATTCTGCGCCTCGCTCGTGGGCTCCGTATGTTCCGAAGAAATACTCCGTTTATACACATATGATGTAATGTTATCTTCAGTTGCAACACCGCCGAACTATCCCAGCAGGTGTACAACCAAGATTGGGTTGGCTATCTATATCTCGATTCGAGTTATGGTGTTGCGGCCAAGGCAGCCTCAAATGGCCCCTAGTTCAACTCCAACCCCAGACTATAGTTGGCCGACACACACTAGAGAGCGACCATACGTTTAGTAAACAAGCTCATCATAAGCCAGGGATTAAACTGTAAACATAGTCGCTTTACTCTGTGCTGTTCATGGAGAAAAGGAGAACATCAGGGGGGTTAAGTTCGAGATCTGCATCCGCCAAGAGCTTCCGAAGAACATCATTACCATGTTGGCACAAATAGCGCCAATCAGACAGACTAAGGCTCAACGACACCCACAATTTCTCCACGTTCGAACTCGGGTCTAACTCGCCTTGTCGGCAAAACCGGTTACGCGGAATCCCGTGGGGGTTCGAAGGAGTAGAGAGCACACCGCTATCGTGCGTCCTGTCTGGCATTGCTTGGTAATTATACACCATGTGTTGCATTTGGTGTTCATAGTAAATGATTGGTATACAGATAATTGAAACAATAGCTGAGTCGATGTGAGGTTGACGAAAGAACAGGGAAATATTTTGTTGCCTGGGTTGACCACAGATCCATTCATCCACAATGCCTTACGTTCCTGATTCAGTTACAGCCCTGAAAATCATACCAATGGTTCAGGTACTATTGGCGTCGCACGTACGTAGCACCCATCCACAACGGTGGAGTGCCGAGATGGACTTACCGAGTATATATAGAAACAGGCCTTATATAATCGAGTGTCTTGAAAGACATATAAGGAGCCCAAGGAACCCCATTGATCTCTTTCTCAACAGTTCAGACAACCTCAAAGCAAGAAATACAAACAATCCATCTTACAAACCTCTTTTTTTCCAAACCTTCAAATCCAATCACCATCAAAATGCGTTTCTCCTTCCTCGCCGCTCTTACCCTTATCAGCGCTGCCATTGCCGCTCCCCAGCAGCAGGGTGGTAACGATGCGGCCCAGAACACCGTATGTTAAGCATGTGGTCTCATTAGGGAGCAGGGTACTGACAATGTAATAGCTTGCTATCGGTGCTGCCTGCAAGAAGGATGGTAGCATGGGAATCTGTCAAGGTGGATTCTGCTTGGTAAGCTTACAGCCCTCTGCTCAACTTGAGTCACCAGAGGCTAATGCAATATACAGCAAGACGAGAAGGCCGACCAGGGCGTCTGCCAGCAGGCCCAGAACTAAATCCCCCGAATCGACTGATCAAAATTGAGAGAAGAGGGGATTGAGTTTATCCCGGGGTAGCTATCTGGAATAAACCTGTATATATGGCGTGAATATCTGTTAATTATCAAGTCTAATCAATAATATCTCTTGAACCACTTATCTCTAACTGCAAACCTTCTTTATCTGAAGACCAGATTAGATCATAACCTCTTGGATCGAACTTGTTGTATACAAGACCGGTAACAGTAGTAAGCAGCTCAGATAGCCCTCATGACTTTCCTCTTGTTGGTGATATCGACTTAACCCTTCGGTTTAGTAATATATTCTGTGATATCAGTGTACTTAATAATATCGAGGTCCTCGAGCTGCGTGGCGTGATACAGGTTTATTGGTCTTGTTCGACTAAGCTTATAATATACTAGCACACTTGATAGTTTAAGTTACAGGCGTACCTTACTGTAGCCAGACAGAGTAGGATCATTGTGTACATGATAATGGGCCCAGCCTTTGTCAATATACCAGGGACTGAGGCCCAAGGGGCAAGAATTATAATGCGTAAAGAACTATTTCATTCCCCCATACAAAATCCCATATAGAGGATTAGACAAATGTGTGGAATTGCCCCATACCAAGGTCGTAGGAATTTTGTACAGTAATTGACATTTGGGTATCAGTCTCCAAACACATGTAAATGCTCACTTTTCACAACCCAGGATTCCAGAAAGATGTATTTGTTGCTATGGTAAGTGAAGATCTTACACGTTCTGCTCTCTATTGCTCAACATAATACTATGGGTAGAAGAGTGACCACCGGCCAATCCCGGCTGTTGAATGCGACCTCCATTTCCCATCTTGCCTCTCTTTTTAGTTTGCAGGCTAGGAATAAGATATACAGCGCATGCGAGAGCTAGCATGCTACTGCTGGAAAGAAATATTTGGATTTCGCCATCTTTCCCCCTAGCCATATAACAGTCATATGAGCAGAAACTTTCTAGTAGCTTTACAAAGCCGAGAAAAAGGATTGTAGCTACGTACTATAACATCTCATCATTTAGCTAGCACATGTAATAGATACTCGAGAATAATATACAATTCATATCGCGATACAGCTACGCAGTAAAATCGATGAAGTATTTGAATTGACCTTATACCAAGTCCCGCCCCAAGCCCAGCCCATGTCATAATTACCATATCCCTTCATCCAGCTCCCATGCCTTACTCTTAGTGTTGCATCCGCCGTGGTTCCAATGGTCCGGGACACACTCAGTGGTAGCACTGCAGTCGTCGTCCTCTTTGCAGCTGGCAAATCTGCCATTCTGCAACCAGCACCATGGCATGCCCTTTTCCCACTCATCGTTCGTCCGCTTCCCGGTTTTTTCGTTGCAGCTGCTCCAGCAGGTTTTGCCTAACCCGGTCTTGCCACCCTGAGGCGCACACCCACCAGACAGTGGAACAACGCAGCCCCATGTTTCCGCGCACTCAAAGTCGGTTGGACAGTCAGATTGCTTGAAACAATTGGCATACGAATCACTGCCCCTTTCAGCTATCCAGCACCAGGGGTCGTTCTTCGCCCAGTCGCCGCCAATGGGCGAGCCCGTGCCTGGGTCGCATTTGTTCCAGCACTTGCGGGAGGGCATGCTGGGGCCCTTACCGACCCTGCTGCAGCCGCTGGCGGCCGTCGCGGACGGTAGGGAGGCTGTCTTCGAGGTCTTGGTACTTGTTGTCGTTTTGGAAGACTTGGAGGAGGGTTGCTTTGGAGAGCAGGTAGGTTTTGGCGGCTGTTTGGTTTTTGAAGTTTTAGTATGCTTTGCCTTATGTGCGCCGCAGTCCTCTCCCTGGGGATCATTAGGGTCCACTGTAGAACAAGATTCCACGCCCTTGGTTGTTGTGGTGGCCGTGACATGGCGTCTCACAGCCAACAGGCTTTTGGTGGTAGTGCAAGCATCAAAACTGG